TCCTTTTTTATTCTTGTAAGTTATTGGCTGTACGAGCCTTTTTTATTTTGATTTGTAATTTATAATTCTCTGGAGGGTCCCTTGGGTGGTGAATCGCAGAGAATTTTATTTTTATAAGCTGGAGGGTCCCCCCGAAGGTGGTGAATCGCAGCTTCTATTTTTTTTTTTATTGGCTGTACGAGCCTGTTATTATTTATATGTATTATTTAAGGTTAGTAAATATACAAGTTTTAAATTTTAATTTAATTAATAGTAATTCGCAAAACATACATTTTAAATTCTTAAAATTTTCCTTTAAATATTTTTTTCCGTTTAAGTTTCCTTCTTACTTTTTTTTTTTTAAATGCTTTAAAAATTTCAACAGAATACTTTTTAAATTCTCAATCTTTTTTCTTTAAATATTTTTCTTTTTCAGTTTCTTTCTTACTTTGTCTTATTTAAATGCTTAAAAAATTTCTTAATATTAGGTGCTTACTTATTACTTTACTATTAAGGTTCCCTCGTTGCGCACGTATAGAGGGTGCGTTTCCTTCCTACTGGATCCTAACGCGTGGTTGGCGAACCAGCTCGTTTGGTCCGGGTGCCTTGGTGTCTTTACTTCTCGGCCGTCCTTCCACGGGTGATTTTTATGTTGAATTTCCTTCGGCCGTCCTTCCACGGGCGATTTGGATATTATCACAACACGATTCTAACACCGCACTTAGACGCAAACTTCAGCTGGTCCCTGCTCGGGCGCCAGTTAAGTTTTTTATTTAATTAATGGTTTTTTAAAAATAGCGGACTTGCGTCCGCGGTCTTTAATATTTTGATGTTATTTTAAGACTAAATATAATTCATTTCTTAACTCTAAATTAAACCTAAGTCCGTGCCGGGTCACGTTGCCTAAAGTTACCGCGTTAGCAGTTGATCGGACGCGCGTGTGAAGTCGTCAACTTAATATCGCTGATGCAGCGTCAGCAATTGGTTAGTTTCGGTTCAAGTTACTGACCGATGGTGAGAATTGGCTGACCGTGTGAACTGCTGTGTTAACTTATATACGGGCAGATGTGTGTACAAAAAATTCAAATATAATATTACGTGCATTTTTTGACAAATACAATCAATCCCGGTTAAGTGCCAAAACCAAAGTTGCAGATTTTTTGTGCTTTGTAGTACATAAGCGATTGTGGTACTTAAGCGAGTGGTCCAAAAAAATATTTCTATGTATTTAAAAAAAAATTACCGTTTTCGTTAAAAAATTAAGAAAAAAAAACGTGAGAAGCAGCAAGACACAGGCAGATAAGAGGGATTGGAGGAGTGATACTTAACCGGTGTTTACTGTATATATAATATGAATCAGAGGAATATTGAATATTTTCTTTAAAAAGTTTCTTGAATTGTAAGTCGACAAATATACTATGTTGTCAATTTTATTCTAAAATATTTGAATACTCATATTTGCGGGGTCATCACTTTTCACTTCTAGAGGGAATATCAGAAATTTGTTCAATTTATGATTTTTAGCTTTTGCCATCGTCGTGGCGAATGTAGGCAAAAGCATGTTCGGGGGGATGTGTAATATCAAAGCAAGTCTCTGAGCATAATTTTCATACAATGCTCAGCTCTCTAAGCTTAATTTTCATACAATGCTCAGCTCTGTTTACGCGCCACTGTTAAGATTTCTATTTCCAAGCCAGATGTGGTGATCTCCACTATTAAAATCTTGTTAGGTTTTGACAATTCACACGCTGGTCCGCAATTGAACCTTCTCTATAATATACGTTTTCTGCTGAAACTACAAACACAGTGTACTGATATTTATTATACTCTTGCAACATGTTGCTACAGAGTATAATAGTTTTCTTGTGGTATATTTTTGTACACACAGCTTACGTACTTTTGTATACCTATATATTACATAGATATTCACAAACATAATAATACAGATTATTTAGTTATTATGTATTTATATTTTAGAAATTAGTAGTTTATTGCATTGGTATATGTGATATAAACTGAACCAAAGGGGTAAGATTTAATTTGTGGGGTATATGAGATTGCTGTTGTACGAATGAAGCGGAAATCAGTATATTAGGATTATAAGGTTTAAACAAAGGTCTAGACCAATTTCATTCATATGCAGCGATAAATCACATTATTTTTAAGAAAAACTGTCCATTTAATTTCATTAAATTATAAAATTAACGAAATAAATCATACCATAAGTAGTACATGTATGCTGGGGAAATTCGTGGATCGATTTCACACATTTTCGCCATTAAACTGTTGTATATCTAATATTTTACGTTTATATAAAGCCAAACGGAAGTTTGAATTTTTTACATAAAGTATGTTAGAGCTAGGGTCAATATATACCCGATAATGGGTACCAGGGCGGAACCAAGAATTTTATACTCTTATAATTCGCAAGAATCAAAGGCCGGAAATTCCTTCAGGTGTGGCAAAGTTGAGAAAGAATTAAACATCCATTATTAAATGAGATCGTGATTAAATTGCAATCAAATTTAGTATCTGCTTGACTTATATTAAAGGCCATAAACTTCGTCTCAGTTTTATTGCTATATTTTGGTTTGCGTCAGCGAAAATTATATTAAAGAAAAAACAGAAAACATCTTGAAGTGAGATATACATAAGTATGAATGTGATATTAACTCGACCAAAGTGGATAATTTTTATATTATAAGCTTGTGTGGAAAACGTCAACCAGAGAATCGGAATTCATTATATGAAGGTGTATGGTTTAGACTTAGTATATACTAATTTCATTCTAATTCAGCGTCAAACAATATAATTTATAAAAAAACTTATCCACTTAATTACATTAAAATATCACATTTTGATCAACCGGAACGGTTTAAAGTCAAGAGGAAAGACGGAAATCATATATATATTGGGGATAGAGAAAGATATTAATTTTTACATTGCTCAGCTATACTCGAGCACAGAGAATATATTTTGAAGCAATTTTGTATATAATTTAAATACTCACTGACCGACATACGAGAAGTATTATAAGTAGTATATGGAAGTAGAGGGTAGCATTAACCCGATTTGATCAATTTTTGCCAATACTACATACTACTAAGATGCCACAGACTAATAAAATGCTCCCACTGTTTCATTAAGTACTTCACATACCATCACTAATCAAATGGAGTAAAGTCAGATGAATGTTCGAAAACCCTGATATTAGTTACTAGGGGGCCAGGTAAAAGTTTCACTCGATTTCATCCATTTTAGGCACAAAAATACCTTGTTATGAGTAAAACACGCTCTCTCATTCTCATTGAGATAACTCACATATTGGCCGATATATGCGTACTAAATATGTGGACCCCAGTGCCTATAGTTGACCTTCTACCGAAAATATCAGTCAATCCACAAAGAAATCTCAAACGAGTATACCATTTGACTTTGCGAGTTTATAAAATGTTCGGTTACATCCGAACTTATCCTTTCCTTACTTGTTTATTTTTGCCATGATACTTTCTTAATGGAACATTATTATAAGAATAATTTTACATCTTTTTTCGCACAATGGTATTTTATTACGCTTGTTTTCTATAAACAGGACCCAGGGGAAGAATAAAATAAGGAGTTATCGTGAGGAATTCAAGAAAATATAACCTGTTTTAATTTGATAGTAGCGGAGAATTCGACTGTTATAAAATCTATGTTACGATTATTATTAATTTGAATATGTGCGAGATGAAACAATTAATAGTGTTTGCTGGTGTTTTTCAATAATAACTGCTTTGCACAGAAATTTTTATACTCTCGCAACCTGTTGCTACAGAGTATAATAGTTTTGTTCACCTAACGGTTGTTTGTATCACCTAAAGCTAATCGAGTTAGATATATGGTTATATATATATAAATGATCAGGATGAAGAGACGAGTTGAAATCCGGGTGACTGTCTGTCCGTCCGTCCGTCCGTGCAAGCTCTAACTTGAGTAAAAATTGAGATATCTTTATGAAACTTGGTAGACGTGTTTCTTGGTACCGTGAGACGGTTGGTGTTGCAGATGGGCGTAATCAGACCACTGCCACGCCCACAAAACGCCATTAATCAAAAACAAATAACTTGCCATAACTAAGCTCCGCAATAAGATACACGACTGTTATTCGGTACACAGGATAACATTAGTGGGGGGCATCTGCAGTTAAAACTTTTTTTAAAAAGTGGGCGTGGTCCCGCCTCTAATAAGTTTAATGTGCATATCTCCTAACCCGCTAATGCTATAATAACAAAATTCACTAGAAGCAAATGTTTTTAGCACTTCTATTGACGGTGTGAAAATAGTTGAAATCGGGTGGCAACTCCGCCCACTCCCCATATAACGGTACTGTTAAAAACAACTAAAAGCGCCATAAATCAAGCACTAAACACGCCAGAGACATTAAATTTTATCTTTGAGATGGCATAAATTGGCTTTATAGGAACCGCGTTCAAAATTAGTCAGTGGGCGTGGTTCAGCCCACTTTTAGGTGAAAACCCATATCTTGAGATCTGCTTAACCGATTTCAACCACATTCGGTGCTTAACGTTCTTTTCATGTTTCTATGTGATAGTGCGAAAATGGGCGAAATCGGACTACAACCACGCTTACTTCCCATGTAACACCATTTTCAATTCCATCTGATTCTTTCACTTTCCACTATGCAAATCAGGTAACAATGATTATATCGGTGTAAAACTTTGCGTGAATAATGAAATTAAAGTATGCCACCTTGCGGCCAAAAATTGTCTAAATCGAACCAAAACTGTTCAAACCCCTAAGTACTAAATATGTGGACCCCAGTGCCTATAGTTGACCTTCTACCGAAAATATTAGTCAATCCACAAAGAAATCTCAAACGAGTATACCATTTGACTTTGCGAGAGTATAAAATGTTCGGTTACATCCGAACTTAGCCCTTCCTTACTTGTTTTTTTTTCCTTTGGTTGTTTTTGAATAATACGAGTAATGTTTTTAATAACAATATTTATGATACTTACATATAATGAATGGGATTTGATACACTGCAGGTATAGTCAAGCCTACTACTACTCTGCTTCCAGCCCAAGTCCAAAAATCTCTACTTATAGATGTTAATAGGCTACCAAAGAGTAATGTAGCTAAGCAAGTAAAATACGATGTGCGCCTTCCCATTCTATCGTTGAGTAACCCAAATAGATAAACTCCTATCGGACCTCCAACGTTTAGAGCCGATAAACCAATTGTTGGATAAATATCCTTATCGCATACTAAATCAAACTAAAAGTATATTGTTTTATAAGATTGATTAAAAAATTGTTTAAAGAATGTTAGAGTAGGCCTGCTTATTTACAATTTATTTATAGATTCTAGTTAACAATTATATGTTTAAAATAAATTAGATAATTCCATCCCATACCAATGTTTTTGAAATATTTTATTAATTTATTTTCTAAGAAGTGTAAATATTTTTTTAACGAACGAAGTATCCTGCACATGGTACGATAAATTTACAAGCTAAAGGTAATTTTGTGCATGCAAAAGTTTAACAGATTAGCAGAATAAACATGTTCCTACATACTCTACCTCTTAACTGAATTGGTTCATGAGCACCGAGGCAGGAATTAGTCTATAATTTCTTAACCAAAATTCTAACCACATAAAAAATAGTTTCCATAATTTTCAAACATTTTTAGGTTTAGAGGCCACGGTATGATTTTCATATTACGTTTATTATTTCTTAGTTATTTATTTTTCTGAAAGAGTAACGCAGCCGATAATATTTTTCTAAGTCATCTGAATAGTCCGGTCAAATATGAAAAATAAGAGTGAGGTTACATAAATTTCGGCTTCATCGAAGTACCCTTCACAGGTGCATTTTTATCCGCATAAAAAGGTATACAAGCTCTTTATTTTTATCGGGCAGTTTGAATGGCAGCTACTTGGTATAGTTGTCCGATCTCAACAATTTCCTAAATGAGCAGCTTCTTGAAGAGAAGAGGGCGTCCATAAAATTTTAGATCGACATCTCAAAAACTGAGGGACTACGCCTAATACAGACAGAGATACAGATAGACCTAGAGACAGACGGACGTGGCTAAATCGATTCAGGTCATCATGCTCATCATTTATAACGCCGCCTACTCTCCATATAACGGTTGTGTAAAAAACTACTTAAAGTACGATAACTCACTAAATAAATGCGTCAGAGACATTAAGTTTCCCACGCTTTATGGTACGAGAGGTCTTTATAGGGACCTGTGTCAAAATTGGGCGAAGCACCACCACCCTTTAGTTGTAATGACATACCTCAGAACTAATTCTACCGATTTAAACCGAATTCTGTTTATACTTGTAATATTATCCTGACATTCCNAAAAATCAGTAAAAAATTTTGCACGAATAGTGCCTTTAAGGTGTACCACCATATGAATAAAAATTGTCAAAATTAACTACAACTGTTCCTGACACGGAATATGTGACCTCAGTTCCTTTTACGAACTTTTAACACAAAGGTTTTCGAGCTTTCGGTTGACTATATACCTCATACATTGACTGTTTATTCGTATATCGGTCAATATACAATACATATGAGTTAATTTTAAGAAATTGGGAGAGCGCGTTCTTCCAATAACAGTGTGCATTTCTGCGTAAAACGAATAAAATCGGATGAAACCTTTCCCTAGCCACCATATAACTGACATCAGGGTTTTAAAACATCCGGTTGATTTTACTCCTTATATATTCGTGATGGTACCTTTATATATAATACTCATAGAGCTTATTTTCCTGTTAATAATATGTAGATAAAATCGATTCAATTCTAGCCGTATCTCCCATATACCTAATATAAGATTTTATATTTCCGGTTGACTTTATACCATATCGGTCAATATGTAAGATATCTTAGCAAAATTAACTGAGCGTATCATTTTAGATATACCATAGTTTAGTGCCGAAAATATTTGAAATTTGTCCAGGAATTGCTCCGACTGCCATATAATACATATAATAAATTTCGTTTTTGTTACAAACTTTATACCGAATATGTCGGTCAGTGGCTGAGTTATATATTTATAAGCTTGCTTGAAAATATGTTCTCTGGCATACTTGAACAATTTCAAACGTTAATGCAATCCGCCTAGACCCTTTTCTGTCCCCAATATACCCTAATATTGATTTCCGACTTTCCACTTGTATTCAATGAAATTGTTCCAAACCTCATATCCCTATTATAGTAAATTCTGATTATCTGGTTGACACTTTTGCACATCAACGAAATATTATATATAAATTTTAGCCTCTCCTCGTTTGAGGATGATTTTAAAATAATTCTCTCTTTTTTATGATTAGGCGTTATTGTTTGCAACATACTATTATATTACAACTGCAGTGAAATTGTCAGCCATTTGTGAATGGCTCATTTGAAAAATTGATTGGCACCGAATGACAGCTTTGCGCATACTTTGTATTGTTTTGTTTATGTTAAACGCTGTGAGGTAATACGATCCGCTGACCCTTTCGACCATGTTGTTCTCGCTACCGCGTATGCGGTTGTTTCTTTATGTGTATATTACCTGAGGCCCATTAACTCGCAATTTTTAATACAGAACTCCTCGAAAGATGCATTAGAATTCCAGCCCACAGGCACATTTCCGTAGCCCCTTCTGAATCGAATAACATAGACCCTGAGCAGTTTAGAATGATAGTGCAGGCGGCTGTCAGAGCGCTTTAGCTGAGCAAGTATCCCTGAATAAAATTAATAAGCTGACTGATAGAGCCGCAGCATCGTACATTACACCTCCAGAAGTGCAGGCGTATGCTGTTATAGAAATAAGAAATTATTTTGGTTATGACCATCTATAAGATGTCGTCAAATGCCTTCCCGATTTTTCAGGGCCAGGTGTCTAATGTGTCTTGGAGACAGCCGCACTAGCTGCTTATCACATTTTTAAACCGTAAAATGGCAGTCCTCGGCACTACCAGCCGGTTATTGTAATTAAAATGCAATATGAGGGGCCCCACCGATACGATGCTGGCTTCGTTTGGCTGCCTTTGGCTGTAGCTCTTGCACAAGAGTAAAATTGTGAGCATTTTTACACAGCACGTATTTTTATACTCTTGCAACATGTTGCTACATAGTACCCCGCCTACTCCCATAAGCCACAATTTTTAATTCCATATGATTCTTTAACTTTACAGTACCCAAATCAAGCAGTAATGAATGTATCGGGATAAAACATTGTACGAATAGTACCTTCGAGGTGTGTCACTTTATGATAAAAAATTGCCCATATCGGAACAAAACTGTTGAAGCCCCAGATACCGAATAAATGGACCCCGTTCCTATTGCGAACTTTTTATCGAAAATATCAGTCAATCTGTGAGATATACTCGTATTATTGCAATTTGAAAATAATATTTTTCTGATAATAGTATGCCTCTATGTTAATATGTTAAATATACTTGTAATATAAAGATTTTCGAACTTCCAGTTCCATACAAAATTAACTGAACGTATAATATTGAAGATACTATAGAGTTTTATGCCAAAAATATGTGAAATTGGTCCACGAATCACCCCAACTCCATATGCTACAAATAGCGATGTTACATTTTATTCTAACAAACCTTACGTCGAATAAGTCGGTCAGTTATAGTGTGAGTTATCTTAATATACTTATATACATCTCTTGTCACAATGTTTGTCCTCAATGGACTCCTAAACCACTTAACCGATTATAATCAAATTCGCACACCATGTGCAGTTATAAAAATATTTTAAAATTGTAAAAATATTTTTAAATCGACAAGAGCTATGTTTGCATTTTTGTCACTTTTTCCTGCGTTGCACGGTCTGTTGACACTTTTCCTTTCAAGAAGGAACATCAGAAAGTTGATTCAATTTATGATGTTTAGCTTTTGCCATCGTCGCGAAAAACGCTTGTGGGCAAACACATGCTCCGAAAGATGCTGTATTAACGTTTATTTTTGAATGAATTCAACTTCGCCTTAGTGTTAAGAGAAGCCTGCGTTCATGAAGGAAAATTTTGTTGGTTTGTGTGATTTACTATACATTTGGCTTCGACACATTGATTCTTTGAAATGAAACCAAAAAAAACGTGAGATTTCGCATAAAGCAATTAGATATACATATTTACATACATATGTACATATGTTGTAGGTTAGACAGATATACATAAAATATGCGTTCTTTATATTTGTTTAGCATTGGCACAACATAATTATATACATAATTTATTATATATGAGCATATGTGCGACCGCTTGGTCTTTTCAGATGTTTCCAAAGCTTTTAATGATCATCCTATTTTCAATTACCCTTATTAGAATATTATTCCAAAAATTGATTAATTATAATGTCTACGATATGAAAATAAGTTTCACTTTTACCGTGGTTTCATAACCCACACATAGTTTTTTTTCTCGTATTTTTGAAGTTCAATTGATTGAAATTAGTTTGCTCAAATATTCTCCATTTAAAGTATTAATAGATTTCGTCAAACTAAATATGGAGATGGTTAAACCTAATGATCAATTGGTTGGCCACCTATTGACATACTACGTTTTGTAATGCAAGAAAGTGCACGATTAGTATATTCATCAATATTAAGATTTTATATCAGCATCTGGGTATGACGTTCAGATTTCTTCTAAAATCATCTATAAAGTTGACTTTTGAACTTATTCCATGAATTCTAGTGGATAAGAAGCTATTGCAAAAACCCAATATGAGTAGCGAAATAATTCGCGCAGCTTAGCGGGCACTGCTGCTTTATCGTGGCATCTGCTATGTATCGTGCCAGTGATTATCATTTTTATAAAATAAACCAAGAGCTAAACATTGCGCTTGATATGTGGGATATGCGATACCGTTACTGGTCTTAATTTTTCAATGTAAATTGGGACCTCTGACAATATACAATAACATTCTAGATAATAGCATTCTTGATTGTTTGGTTGACTGATAAACTCTTCCAAAGAGTTATTGCTCATGAAATATACAGGATAATTATTGACAGGCAGTACCACGGCGTCGCCGTTGTGAAACGTTCCATTGTTCTTGTTTAAATGTATAGTAGCTGGTACCTCTTCATAAAGTAAAAGGTAGTTGCGAAATTCGTCGCTCTGACATAACTTGAAAAATCCATCAATGTTGTTATTTTTTTGGATTGTCATGCTTCTTTGGATATTACTTGGATCAAAGTTAAACGCTTTGGACCATTTTCCAAATGTACATTCTAAGTGTGTAACGGGTGT